GACCCTGATAACGAGGACAACTTCTCTATCGATTCTCATACCAAGATGATGAAGATATCCAATAAATAGTAAACAAGAATTGTTTGCTAACATGATGAACTCTACGGCAAAATTATATGATTGCTTAGAAGCTGCCCAACTAGACTTTGATGATCTATTTAGCATCGTAACCTCGTCCGTGGCCAAACACCTCGTAAACTGTCGCAGACAAGAGACCTCAAAACTCATCGTCTATGTTAGATTTAACAAGCGAGGAAAAGAGGGAACCAAAAAACCGTTACACTCGTTGCTTACTGGATACAGGAGCATGTCGAACTTTATCTGCTCAAACTACATGCTAAAAAATTACGCATGAAGGATTTGGGGGCGTCCAAACCATATGGACTACCCCTGCAGGAGAAATTAAACACCAGCACGAAGTGCAAAGTGTGCATATCATGATTCCTGAATTCCAGAGATAGGATTATACAATGGGATTTACACGTCACCAAGAGCTGGGGGCTGTATGACATGATCATCAGTCGGACATTCTCTCTGACTTAGGATTTAAATTCGATTTCACTTCCATTCAGGGAGTGGGATAGGCATATCTATCCTATGAAAGATAGCGACACAATGAAAAAGAGAACTTTTTTCATTCCTGATCCTACTCGTTTGATACAGTGCAGATCGCTCATGAAGATTTTGATGCGAAATATCGAACAAGCTGACTTAAGGCAGGTTTGCCAAGTCAAAACAGTTTGATAAGGAAGAGCAGGAACGCTTCATGTCCTTATTACGAAGTACTCCTGACCTATTCGATGGTACTTTAGGAAAGGGCAGATGGAACGACTACGAAGTGTACGAAGACCTCTCTTCTGACGCTAAACCCTATCTCGCTAGGGCTTATCCTATCCACGTGTCATACCACACTCTTTAAATGGAGGTTGAACTTCTCTGCGAAGCAGGAGTAATCAAGAATAGAACCGTTCCGAGAGGGACGGCACCAACATTTATCAATCCATTACGAGGATTATCTGTAGATTCATCTCTGATTTTCCGGCAACTTAACAAAAGGATTAAGCGGAGCCTTATCCTATCCCAAAAATACAGAACATATCTGAATCTAGATCGGATTCAAGTTACGCCACTAGTCTATGACCTGAACTGGGATACTACACATCGAACTGTCACCTGCACTCAAACAACTCGTACTATCGTACTCCCGTGGGAAAGTACGAAAACCAAGGTTGCCAATTGGCCTAGTTAATAGTCCCGACATCTTCCAAGGAAGATGGGAACACTTAATGCACGACTAGAATACGTCCGTGCATTAATTGATGATCTACTCATCATAACTACGGCGATCTGCAGATCACTTGAAAAGTTAGATAAGTTCCCGAAGGCTTTGAGAAGCCGACTTTAAGATCAATGTCTACCAATTCCTTCTTCGCAAAGGAGAACTTGAATACTTAGGTTAACTGGATTACTCAGAAGGATCCAACCTATTAACCAACGAAAATAGACGGCGATCCAGGAATATCGCTCCTCCTACTTACAGAAAAGAACTCCGTAGATTCATGTGGACTATGTGAACTACTTTCGAGACATGTGGATTAGACGATCACTTGTACGTGGCTCCACTCGCTTCGTCGTACTTCAAAAACAACGAAGTGGAAATGGGAGCCGAACACGACAAGGCCTTTAGCCAGATAGAAGCAGATCATCAGCAAAGAAACTTGCACGCTTACCCTGACTTCAACGATACATTTGTTATCCACGGATGCGAGTGATACTCAACTAGGTGCAGTAATTTCCCAGAAGGGAAAGACCTTATCGCGTTCTACATCAGGAACTCAACCCTGCTCAGAACACGCTACAAACCGTTACCGATGAAGGAACTTCTCATGTATCGTAGAAACTCTGAATAGAGTTCCGTAACATTCTTCTATGGACAGAAGATTGTTAGTACATACGGACCACAAGAATCTTACAGTAGAACTTCAATACACGATCGCGTTAATGCGATGGCGCCTTATTCTGGAAGAATACGGCCACTGAACTACGGTACATCAAGGGGGAACACAAACATCGTCGCTGATGCGTTGTCGAGCTTAAACATCCCAACAATGATGGTTCTTCAGAACAAATGGGAAGCCAGCGAGATGACTGAGATCTATGGCTGCAGACGAAGAGTGACTTTCACTACGAGTTCCCTCTCTCGTTCCCCGAGATCGAACATCGTCAGAGAGACGACAACGATATCAAGAAGCTCCTCGAGGGACAACCCAAACGACTACAAGAAGCAGACTTTCCCCAGAGGGGGTATATGTCTTACGACTTAGTAGTCAAGGACGCACAAGATCGTACGTACCTAAGACTAATGCAGAAGAAGCTAGTCGGAATGGTACATGGTGTACTGATGCAACCTGGCGAGACTCGCACAGAACTAACCATCAGCACACAACTACACCTGGAAAGGACTGCGACAGGACTGTGAGGCCGTATGTCAGCGTTGCCAGAGCTGCCAGATGAAAAAACATCAAGACGCGTAAGCTGGGATTGATGCCTCCAAAGACTTGGAGAGATCCCTTGGGAAAGACTATGTATTGACCTGATAGGTCCCTACAACGTCGGGATCCAAGAAAAAGATTCCTGCACACTTCATTGCTTGACAATGATGATCCGGTAACCGATGGTTCGAGATGCAGAGATCTGCTCACAAGGCAGCAGATGAAGTAGCCATCGTCTGAACAAACGTGGCTTACTCGCATCCATGGCCTGCGAGTTATCATGGATAGAGGATAGTTCCGCGCAGAGGTCGAAAGACTCTCCGGATGAATATGACTTCGTCGCAAGTTCACACTACGCGTAACCCTCAACCAACTCTATGGTCGAGCGTGCTCTCAAACCATACAACTTGTCGCTGTTCAAAACATCAACAAGTGCCAAGACGACCTCGTGAATGGATCTGGGTTGGAGTCCTCACGGCGGTTCGCTTTGCAATGAAGCCACGATTCATACCACCTTGCGTGCAACGCCTGCGCAGCTCGTTGTTCAATCGTGAGCGATTCACAACCGTCCGTTTCGAAGCCAACGGGAAGACACATAAGGAACGCGCCAACGACTAACCATAAACAACGATAGGGAAACGCGACGCGTGTCCCTCATCAATACAATGTCAACGATACCGTGATGATTCAACAGTATCAGCACCGCAAGTACGGTCAGAAAAGTCAAAGGTCCTTACACTATAGACAGCGTCAATGACAATGGCACTGTACGGTCCGACATGCTACCGCCAATGGCGGCACAGTCTACCAAGACTTGAACATAAGGTATATACACCATACAAGGCCTGATCCCTTGTAGGATTGCCATCGTGCGACGCACATGTCTACATCCAATCTCATGAGAGTGCCCCGCACTTTAAATCATATGTTCTCCTTGTCCGACTGCTGTCGCGCCTTCTGTGACCCTTGTCAGGGGGCGAATGCAATACACGGCTCTTAGCCTTATTCACGACTCGATCCTAGATAGGGTTTGAGTTCGACTCATGACTGAGTCTCTCGTGAATAGTCATTTGAGACAGGGTTCTCAATGACCGCTCTAGTCATACTAGGTCGATGATGAAACATCGCTCTAGATATTTAGCCAGCGTGGAGTACTTCCACGCTACTAGATCCATGCTAGACGAATCTTCCACGCGTTCCGTTTTAGGATCGTGGAGATACGTAGGATTACTACTGCAACCTACTCTATCACACTTTATAGCCTCCCGCGGGAGACCAGATCTACGATCCTTTGATGGTGATCTCTCTCGTTGATTAGTTTTCATAGCTTTCTAATCTCTCTCATAACTTTCATTCTCTCAAACACAAAACACTCGAAAGATCTTTACACTAGCTTTTAGCGTAGTGCACTCTCGCCCCGGGTGTTGGTGGCCCGCAGCAATTATTGATGGCTCCTGATGTCAAAATTCTTGCCAGTCCTGGGGCCAGCCCACAAGCTGAAGTTAAGTGGTCCATGGAAGCCCACAAATCCCTCCATTGTGCCCACTCGGAAAATATTCGATCCTTGCTGATGCATGGGTGGTCTTTTGATACAGATTTGGTGGGTGAAGCCTCCACTTCTGACAACAAGGCCGAGCAGGCAAAGGCCGAGCGCATCATTTTCCGTCTTGACTCGTCTCAGTTCATCGAAGAAACAATGGGATCGTTGTTGTCTTACTGCTATGGGCGGAGTCTGCATGGAACGTCCGTGGAAAACCTGCTAGAATTGGTGGATGGCGCCACTTACTTGGGCATGACTTCTTTCTCTCTTCGGTTTGAAGAGTCCCTGGTGGCAAAGCTGAAATCTGAGAACGTAGCCCAATGTATACGTTTGCCGAGGAACACAGAGCAAAGCGACAGTCCTTGGGATGCCACAAGTATCTATGTCAGAACGTGAAAGGTCTTATTCTTCCCTACGGAGATGCACTGGCACGGCTGGAACGATCTCACATCGAAGCCATGTTGCGATCCAACCACTTGAATGCTGAGGAGGACGAAATTCTAAAGATACTGATCTCTTGGGCAGATCAATCAGCAACATGGTTCGACGATACCAAGGAGCTTCTGGGCTTGGTGCGGCTGCCGTTTGTGCCTCTTCAGTCATTGGCAATGAAGGATGCCGTGGAAAGGAACCTTGTTGGTGAGGATACGATTCGCCTATGCCGCCTGTTCCAGACAGACGCAGACTGCCGTGTGACGATGATGAACAGTGAGGACATGCGCCCCCCCGCTTTTCCGGCCAGTTGAAGGGCGAGTTTCAACTGAGGACCCGGCCGGACGAATCATCGAGCTCTGATTTTGATGACATTGGTTTCGGTTGCTCTCTAGCATAAGACAGGAGCCCACAAGATGATGTGGGAATTGAATAAGACGCTTTTTGACCAAAAGCCACCAGCCAAGCCACCAGCCAGGCCCCTTGCCGTTCCAGGCGGGGCTAAACCTGAGAATGTCCCCGTTGCCCCGGGTGTTGGTGGCCCGCAGCAATTATTGATGGCTCCTGATGTCAAAATCCTTGCCAGTCATGGGGCCAGCCCACGAGCTGAAGTTGAGTGGTCCCGGGAAGCCCACAAATCCCTCCTTTGTGCCCACTCGGAATATTTTCGATCCTTGCTGACGCATGATGGGGGGTCTTTTGACACAGATTTGGTGGATGAAGCCTCCACTTCTGACAACAAGGCTGAGCAGGCAAAGGTCGAGCGCATCATTCTCCGTCTTGACTCGTCTCAGTTCACCGAAGAAACAATGCGATTGTTGTTGTCTTACTGCTATGGGCGGAGTCTGCATGGAACGTCCGTGGAAAACCTGCTAGAGTTGGTGGATGGCGCCGCTTACATGGGCATGACTTCTTTCTCTCTTCGATTTGAAGAGTCCCTGGTGGCAAAGCTGAAATCTGAGAACGTAGCCCAATGTATACATTTGCCGAGGAACACAGAGCAAAGCGACAGTCCTTGGGATGCCACAAGTATCTATGTCAGAACGTGAAAGGTCCTATTCTTCCCTACGGAGATGCACTGGCACGGCTGGAACGATCTCACATCGAAGCCATGTTGCGATCCAACCACTTGAATGCTGAGGAGGACGAAATTCTAAAGATACTGATCTCTTGGGCAGATCAATCAGAAACATCGTTCGACGATACCAAGGAGCTTCTGCGCTTGGTGCGGCTGCTGTTTGTGCCTGTTCAGTCATTGGCAATGAAGGATGCCGTGGAAAGGAACCTTGTTGGTGAGGATACGATTCGCCTATGCCGCCTGTTCCAGACAGACGCAGACTACCGTGTGACGATGATGAACAATGAGGACATGTACCGCCCCCGCTTTCCGGCCAGTTGAAGGGCGAGTTTCAACTGAGGACCCGACCGGACGAATCATCGAGCTCTGATTTTGATGACGCCTGTTTCCGTATCTGCCGGATGCTGGGTGCCGTCAATGGAAGGGAAAACTTTGACAAGATTCATCCGATTGTTGTGGACGAGTCTCGGCTTGTTTGCACCTTTCCCGCGTCCAGGAGCCTATCCGTCGCGAAAGACTTTCCTTTTGGCAGCATCGTCATGGATCACATGCCAACTGCAGAACAAAGGCACGAAGAAAAGCTTGATCGGATTGGCCTCGAGAAGCTGGCCCCAGAGGAAGCCAAGGACCTTCTGGCTGCTCTGTTGCAGCGCGAAGACCGTTTGCGTCTTCATCCTCGTATACAGGCTGTATTTGGATCTATTGGTGAAAGCGAGCAGGAAATGAGTCGCTTCACCACGGCACTTCAGGCACATGTTGCTTCCGAGTTCAATGTTGATGAAGTTGTTGGAGTCGAGCTGATTCGATCTGCCACAACCCTATTTCCCGACACCGCAAAGCTGGCACACTATGTGCGTCATAACCGTTGCTTTCAAGGCGATCTGAGGGTCGGCGACCGCGCCCCAGATGTGGAGCTCTTGACGTTGGCTGCCGAACGAAGCACACTCTGGACAGAAATTGACAAACGTCGCGCTGGGGTCGGTCACCAGCTGAAAGCCTGTGTGGTGGTAAGTTGACGCAGCGAAGTGCCCATTGACCCTCGCCTTGGTGTGTCCTGACTACAACATCTTTGCAGCTTGGTGCTAGTTTCACCTGACCCCCTTTCCGCGCAAACGCAAAACTACTCTCGACGTTGGCTCGAGAGTTTGGACACCTGGTTGCGTTTGCGTTTGTGTACATCAGCGAGGCACACGCCGCTGACGAGTGGCCTGTTGGGCGCAACGTTCCCATCAACCAGCCAAAGTCAGCGCTGAACGCCTCGAGACTGCACAACGGCAGCTGGAGGCGCTCGGAGTGGGCGATGAGTTTGTTTGTCTTGTTGATCTTGCCGAGGAGAAGCATTTTCACAAGGCGTTTGCCGTTTGGCGTTTTCGTTGGTTCACCGTTGGTTCTGTTGGTCGTCGGTTGACGTCGATTGCTCAGCCTCGTAGCTCCCGCTATGATGTTCGTGAGTTGGTTAAAAGTGGGTTGTGGATCATGTTACGCAGTAGTAATAAGCGCTTGGTGGCTTGCCGCCTGGAATGACGACACCCAGATGCTTGTGGTGTTTGACGATGCAGGGCCGGCAAAAGACACAGGCGGAATCCAGCCACCCTCCAGCATCGCCCGAATGACAGTGCCGCTCTTGATTCTGTCAAGAGCAACATTTGAAATGGGAAGACGCTGGGGTGCGGTGTGGTTTCGATGATGATCACCAATCAGAATTCGCTTCGGTTCGTAGTCAGTCTACCCGGCTGTGGTCAGGATCATAATTTCTCTGCAGTGACTATGGATCGAAGACTTGCCGTATCGGTAGGCAGGGGAGTACATGCAGCCAGTTGGTTGTGATGTGACAATTTAGAGAAAGAGCTGTAATAGGAAATAGCTAGCAGCTCGGTTTAGTAACTAAATGTATGCATCTTGAGGATTATCATGGTGGTGCTGCTGATCCTTGGAGATTGCTGGATTGATCGAGCTGCTCCTGGTGCGATTGCGTCTGCATTTGAAGCCCCCGTGAGTACCGGTATTCGCCTCATGTTTGTGGCGCCCTTTCAAAAGGATCCTGACACAATGACGCTGCATCTGATCTCTGTGGAATCCTTCGCTGCCGTGCAGGATTGCTCTCTGCAGCTGAACGGCGTTGGTGTCACTTTCGCTGGCGTTGTTGAGCACATGCCGAGGCTTGGGGCTACGCGTGAATATTGGGCAGTTCTCGATGGCTTTGATGGGCGATCTTGATGGGTGCTTGTTCGAGTGCGCTTCCGGTGGATACCCTCCTCTGTCTGTTCCACTGACCGCATGGGCACAGGCCCACCATCCATTCTTTGAGGCATGCCTTCAGCAATGGTACCTCTGGCACCTTCTAGAAGACAGGGTGGTAGTGTCTCTTCCAGGTCATCAATATATTTTCCCAGAACAGCAAGGTAGTTGTTAGAGCCTGAAAACTCAATAAGCTCTTTCATACTCTGATTGAAGAAATGCTTGACAAGGCTCCAAAGGACCTTGAATATGGGTGGTTCTCTGATAACAATGATCTTCTTGATAAATCCACAATAGTAGTTCTGGATGATGTTGACAACATCTGCTAGGATAGGCAGTAGAACTGGGTTCATGTGACTGCTGTTCAGTCCTTGCATGTCCAAGATACAAATGACTCTTGGGGATTGGTCCTTCTCTGCCTTGTAGGCTTGACTCCATGGCGTGTGCATGGCTTTTTCACGGGCCCACAACTGATACCTCATAATGCCCGCTTTTCCAAAGTACTTGTACAAGCCATATACATCTGTGACTCCAGTTCTTTCTAACCATATGCAATCGCCGTCCTTGTCCGTTCCGTTCAAAATTGTTATTGGGAAGTGGCTTTTCATGACAGGATGGGGTTGATAGTCTTGGAGGATTGTGTCAACTTGTCTGATGCGGAAATCAATAAACTTTCGAAACATAAGCTCAGTACCTTTGATGGAATGAGCTTCTTTCAAAAAACGGACTACCTCTTCGGGGTCATTCTTCTTATGGCGGATATCAGCCAACAATGGCTGGAGTTGTTTCAGCTTGGATTGTTCCTCGTCAGAGAGCTTCCATCTCTTTGCTATGGCTTGGAGTCTCTCCTCACTCCAAGACTTCAACATATTGGAGTCAGGCTCGGACTGAGTGGCACCTCGATCTGGTTCTTTCGGGAGAGTAGCATGTGAGTTGCTTTCGTCCATCTCATCGCACATGCTGCCGCTGCGAGACAAACCAGACAACCGCGACACAGCCCATTGCTTTGAAATCTTCATTCTAGAAACGGCAGAGATACGGGACGAAGATGAAATCTGAAAGCAACCTCTAACAAGAGACTTATCTTGAGAAAATTTGGATCAACTCGTGCTAAAAAATGAGCTGCGACGAGAGTGAGCAAAGAATGCTGAGGAACCCAATGCAGAAGAACACAATCGAAGCACTGAGGATCTCGAGTCTTTAGTCTCGACTAATGGATTTATGGATTTTTCACTACTATTAATAGCCAGTACTCCTCTTTGAGTAATGACCACTTATCTCGAGTTTGTTTAACACTTTGAAAGATCTTTCTGTCCTACATCCCGAGATCTACCAGTACACCAATAAGTAACCATATTAATGTCTGGCATCTCGTTTTTGTTTAATGAATTGATAGTCTTTCTGTCTTATATCCCGAAAATCTACCGGGACACCTACACGTAGCGGTTTATTAAAAACGACTGACAACTGACATCTTGATTTTGTTTAACTTTCTGTCCTACATCCCGAGTGGTCTACCGGTACCGGTACCGGTACCGGTACACCGATGTGTGGCTGTTTTAAAACTCTTCTTGGAGCTAGGGGTCAAGGATGCCAACCGTAACCCGTCATTGAGATTTACTCCAGTACCTTTTCCTATTTTCGTTTTCCTCTAGCATAGCTGCTGCTGTTAGATAGCTAGCTAGTAGCAATGGGACAGAATAGATAAGCATTACTTTGGGCGAGCAACCCTACGCTAGGGCACCTTTAGAAAGGAAGAACAAAACCCACTTTCCAATGGTACATAGTGTCCGCCACAGTTTTTTTAAAAGTGTGAAGCCAACGGGGGCAGCAGAACAGTCAGTTGCCCCCATGATAAAAGTCAAGACAGGGCCCGTCCGGAGAAAAAACCGAGAGGGGTGCCTTTGCAACACGATGAACGAAGAATACGAGCAAAGACTTGTATGCAAGATTTCCTAGCTAGTCAGTGTTCGATTGGTTCAGCTACGTGTTCGTGTTATTCAAAAAGTTCCAGATGCCACTATTCGACACCTGACCTGCATAGGATCCCGCCCATTCGGGTCAAACTGAATTGCTTGGTCTTGGCAAGATCGACATAGACTCAATCCCCTGTCGATTGAGACCGTTTCATGGACAGTTGGAAGCACGTAGAGACCAGAGGAGGTCATTGAATCCGATGAGCCAAAACTGGAACTGATGCTTTTCGGGCAAGGTGGCTCCTCCTCGCGAAGACCTCTCTGTTCCCCCTTGAACTTTTTCGTTGCCATCTTCTTGGGAGGCAGTGTCCCGCCATCCATTCTTTGAGGCATGCCCTCAGCCATGGTTCCCCTGCCACCCTCCATAAGACAGGGCGGTAGAGTTTCTTCAAGGTCATCAATGTAATCGCCCAGGACATCAAGGTAGTTGTTGGGACCAGAAAAAACAATAAGATCTTTCATAGTCTGATTGAAGAAATGCTTGACCAAGTTCCAGATCACCTTGAATATGGCAGGTTCTCGGACAACAATGATCTTTTTGATGAAGCCACAGTAGTAGTTTTGGACAATATTGATGACATCTGCCAGCACTGGGAGCAACGCAGGGTGCATGTGACTGCAATTCAGTCCTTGCATGTCCATGATACAAGTGACTCTTGGAGACTGCTTTTTCCCTGCCTTGTATGCTTGACACCAGGGCGTGTGGACAGCATTTTCACGGGTCCACAACTGGTATCTCATCATTTCAGCTTTGCCAAAGCGGCGATACAATGCCAAGCTATCTGTTGCACCTGTTCTCTCTAACCAGATGCCATCACCTTCCTTATCAAAGCCATTCAGCAGGGTTATGGGGAAGTGGCTTTTCATGACAGGATGGGGATGGTAATCTTGAAGAATTGTGTCGACTTGTTTGATACGGAAATCAATAAACTTTCGAAACCTAAGTTCAGTGCTTTTGACCGAATGGGTCTCTTTCAAAAATGGCACCACCTCTTCCGGATCATTCTTCTCGTGGCGGACATCAGCCAACCGGGGCTGCAGTTCTTTCAGCTTGGATTGTTCTTCTTTAGTTAGCTTCCATCTCTTGGCTATGGCTTGGAGTTTCCCCTCACTCCAAGACTGCAAAATCTTGGAGTCAAGAGTACAATCGTCCGAATTTTTCAGCTCTTCCTCTCCACTACTAGTAGAGGCAGACCCATGCTTACTGCCCTTTTCGTTGTGGCTCCGGCCAGTCTCGTTGGAAGCGTTGGAACTGCTGGGAGCGACCTTACGATGTTTTTCGATGAGCTTCATCTTCGAATATTGTCTTCGTTTTCGCCTGCTGTCGATGCGATGGCTGCTCCTCTGCTCACTTGTGATGCGAACTGGGCTCGATGCTGGACTGCTCACTAGCTAGCAAGTATTCTGGTTTGCGGTCGAGATCGGTTCCAAGCCGAGGTTTTGTGATGAGAGCGAGCTTCCATTGGATACTTTGTTGACGAACAAAAAGTGCGCTGAAACTGGGACTGCAGACTGTACTGGTATGTAAATAAGCGCGACGCGACCATCATCCATCTCATCCTGTCCAAAAGCACATGCGCTCGCAGCCGCAGGCACGTAGGCACAAACGGATACTGCACAGCAAGATTCTCTGTGACCCTCTTTTAGTACGTTTAATTAACCGTTTGTTTCTCCATTCTGATCAGACATAAAAGGCAGCTTCCTCTGAAGAACGCTGTTGTCATTCTACTCTGCAGCAGCACTTATGTAGCTCTACCCCCCAATAATCATCAGTCGAAGCTCGGCTTGGCTCCTTCAAGAGTCGCTTTTGGCAAGCTTGTTGGTGGTGCGGGTTGTCAGGTACCGGTACCATCCATTATCAAATGCAGCAAAAGTGAGTCAACCCATCACGCCACAGTTCTGCTGCCTCGTGCATCATCCATCGGAAATCGGAAGTCGGAAGAGCTATCGGAAGTCTCTTCGTCTACCACCGTATTCCTGTGGTATTCATTCCATTCCTTCTATTATCAATTGAAGCACGGCTTGCCTACAGTACTTGGCTGAGTGCCATTGCTGTTCATGTGGTATTCATTCGATTCCTTTTATTCCTCCTCCTTTTTGCTCGCGCCTTCAACGTTAACCCTCCCACCAAGCAAAAACACTATCCCCAACAGTGGCCCTTGTTTCAGATTGGATCCCAACAAAAAAAAATACAAATTTGCCTAGCAGGTTTCTGGCTGGGTTACTCGGCATTTTGTCTATTTAAAAGGCTATTGTATCTGATTACAGAGTTGCCTAAATGTTCTATGCTCCTTTGTAAAAGTGGCTTATGTCTCACAATGTCTACGGATGTCTCACAATGTCTCACAATGTCTACCAATGTCTCACAATGTCTCACAATGTCTCACAATGTCTACTAATGTCTACCAATGTCTCACTTTGTCTACACATTACAGTAAAACAGTACAAAAATGTCTCACTTTGTCTACCAATGTCTCACAATGTCTCACAATGTCTCACTTTGTCTACCAATGTCTACCAATGTATCACTTTGTCTACTAATGACTCCTAATGTTGCACAATGTCTACTTTGTCTACTTATGTCTACTAACTGTGTGTAGACATTTACACTTAATCGCCAAAACACTTTCCCAAACAGACAAAATGCCGAGTAACCCTGGTGTAAAGCTCCTTCACCGCCAAATGCTGCAAGCCAAGACTGCGACGACAGCAAAAGCGAGTGCTCACTCTATCCAAGGTGTGCGCGGTGCGAGAAGCAAAAGGGACTTCCTGCACCTCCTTTGAACTTCAGTTGTCGTCTGTCTGTCTTTCAGTAGATTTTGTCCAACCCATCCAAACACACCAACAACACGGCAACACAACACAGCAGAACAACCTCCACTAACAACAACAACCAACTACTAGTACAGTAACAACAACATGGCAACAAGAAGAACAAATTGGCAATCGATTGACGAGGACTACCGATCATGACTAGCCAGATACCCAATTTCAGAGGAAGAGTTCAACAGCTTTGATTTTGAGCAACGGAAGAATCTTCGACAAGAGTATCGCGACGGACAGCAGCAGCAAGTCAACAACCGTGAACTACTTGCATACTTTCAAAATATTACCACTACAGAACCCATGACTGACGACCGTGGAGATGAATACCTTGATCTCTCCAAGTGTGGTGCCATCAACGACCAAAACGAAATCAATGAGGTTGTCTCACGGCGGGAACTTTGGGACAATGATGGTTCTTATAAACAACTTCGTGGGCGTCAGGTTATTTTCTCTTTTGCTCGGCCACTACCGTACTTGAAGAGGCCCTATCGGCTCTCCAGGGGGGTGCGAACGTGGTACTAATTACTGGCACCCCTGGTATTGGAAAGAGTTCTTTACGAAATAAATGTTCATGCCCACTTTTTGATGAGCAAGGCTCGCAAAGACGGCAACCGGTGCTCCGTTTTATTTGCAAAGAGCGAAAAGGACAGCATGATTCACCTACAGTCAACATTCAGATATATATACTGGGGGGATTCAGGAATTCAGTAAATATAACAGCGAGAATAAATATTGATTTTATCCCTAACCCTAACTATTCCCGTAGAATTGTACGTGCTCTAGTACTAAAATAGGGTTAGAGTTAAAAATGTGGGAACTGGAGTATTCTTAAATATTATAGAGCGAATAAATACAAGATTATAAGCGAGCGTTGACTGTACATCTTGAAGCAAATGGCTCATAACGATTAGAGCTAGTTCAGCGCTCTTGTGATTGGGTGCAGCGTGGGTACCCGGGTTTCAAACGTGGCCATGACCTTTTTATTCTTGCTGATGTTTCAGGTGGAACTATGGACGGTATGAGTGGTCCGGGACTTATAATTTATTCTTCTCCAAATCAAGATCTGTCTGACTCCCAGATAATGAAAGAGAAGTCTCGAAGGTTGGGATACCCGCTTCTTACAAACGATCAAATTTGTCGATACACAAATGATAGGATGAACCTTATGTTTGAACGGTATGGGGGTCTCCCTCGTCTTGTTTGGGGGGATACAGACGATGAATACTCTCACTTAAGCCGACTTCGAGAAAAATTGAAAGATGTTGATGGATTCCTGGCAGAGTTGGAAATGGAAAACTATCTGAAAGGTCCGCATCATTATTTTTACATGAAGCTCCAAGAAGATTATGCTGGCAACCCTTTATTCAATTTGGATCGCAACCCACCAGAAGTAGTGCCAGCCCCAAGATATGTCATAAGGATGGTTGCAAAAATGGTTGTGGCTAAGTTGCTTGAGCCAAGTCTCGAGGCAAATTTTGGTAAACTCCATAAAGCGGTTGATGGGATTCTTTTTGAAGAGGTATGCCTCTACCTGATGGAGCATCATCCAAACAATATTGAGTTGTTCCGGGTTCGAAATCTCTCCAACAGGAAACGGCCCTTGCAAGGCCATCTGAAAGGGGACAGGTTGCGACTGCAGGATTTCAAAACAAGAAACGACGTAGATTCTGCTGGCTTTGTGAGTGCATTGGACGGCTCTGATACACCTTTTTGCGTTGTTACTAAAGTGTCCAATTTTCCTGGCATGGATGCGGTTTTGGCGCTTGGTAACCCTACAGTCGTACTTCGAGGAACGGAGTAGAGACACCTGAAGTGGCTATAGACCTGCAGATGACGAGATCCATGGCACACAGTGTTGCCGATGAAGGAGTGGACAGCTTGAATGAAATTGACGCAAGAATGTCGTCCAACCACAAACCAGCAAAAAAAACCTGCCTCCTTTTCTTGGTGCCTGAATATCACTTTGCTGGGTTCAAAAGACAGACCGCAAAAAGTGATGCCAGACAAGGGGAGCTTGAGAAGTTTACGCAATATATGTTGGCTGCATCAAGTTCACACGCTAAAAAGTCGATGTATGGGATGGGGAAAACTAGGGGTCTACAGTACGATTTTAGTACCGAAGACAGGGCAATCTCATTTTATGTGATCAAATGTGCGTCCTAAAAAGGACAGTATGGTAGTCTAATAACGTACCGGCAACAGGTGTGATCGTGCACGCCTTTTTATGCTGTGACAAAAATTTCAACAGTTTCTTTTTAGAATTCCTAATTTTAGAAAACAATTCAGGAAATCTTCTTTGTTTGCTCTGAATGAATCATTCCAAGGTAAAAAAGCTCGAAAAGCGCAAGAGAGCACAAGAGAGCACAAGGAACGTTCCCGAGTTGCATCAATATGTCGATTTTATTGATTAAATTAGTATTTTGTTCTGTTTTCCTGAAAGTGGAGCCAAGATTTGTGCATTTCCGATTTTGCGCACAGCACATTCCACTCTGATCTCTCGGGACGAGATTGTAAACTCGTTGATTGTAAGAAACCAAAGCTACCATACATAGCTACCATAGCTAGCTACCGATAGAAAGAAGTGTGCTGGTTGGTGGTGCATGCCAGAACAACACTGGTATTGGAGAAGACAGTGGAGGGGAACTGTTACGGTCTGGTCTGTCCACCAAAATTGGTCCTGCGAGCTGTTTTAACGATACTAGTAACATGTAGACCAAAGCCACCATGTATGTAATCTCGGCGAAGAATGTTCATTTTTCGGCAGCCAACCCAAGCCAAGGCAAATCCAACAACACAAGACAACAATCTATTCCAATTCTGCTTTCTCCGCTTTGAAGTCTAGCAACTTCAGCCAAGAGATAGCCACGATGAAGCGTTCCCTTTTGCTTACGCTCTTCAATTTTTTGCTTTTGCCGCCATGTCCATTGGCGTACAGTTTCAACACCTTGCGACCCCCTGATAACAAAGGCGTTGGGCTGCCCAACAGTAAGATCAGTGACGTCGCCTTGAAAGGTCGTGATGGAACGGATCGACCAGCGTCGTCCGGTGATGAATTCCTGCCAGGGTTCCCAGCTGAGTCGTCTGGTGATGAGGTCATGCCAGGGTTTCCAGCTGAGTCGTCTGGTGATGAGTCCATACCAGGGCTTCCACCCGAGTCATCATCAGGCGATGAGATCTTCCCTGTTCAAGCCCCATCGGCAGACGAGTTTCCAGTGGAAATGCCTTCTGCTGACGAATTCCCCCCAAGCTTTCCTGCTGAATTGCCTTCAGGTGATGACAGCGTCGGAATGAAACCAACAAGAGCTCCCACTTTGGCTGGTGATTTGCCAACTCTCTTGACTTCTCTGCCCACGTTTTTCCAAACATTGGAGCCATCTGAATCCACTCTCAGATCTTGCCCCGTGTCAGAAGACTGCGTGAGGGATGGGGGTGCGTCCGGTAGCAATATGTGCTTTCAGTTGCCTGACTCGACCTTCCAGTTGAACATTTGCTGCCCATTACAGTTCGTGGAGAGAGTCCTGGGAGAGACCCCCAGCTTCTGCGGAGAGTGTTCCAACAGAATTGGTCCAACTGCTGCGCCTACCACGTTCGAAGATATATGTTCACCGGTTGAGGAATGTGGAGAAGATCGAATTGTTTTCTGCTTCGATATCCTGGGACTCACAAGCTCCGGTTGTGTTCGTTCTGATACAGTGCCTGGCTTGATCAACAACGGTGCTGGAGAGTGCGGGCCTTGTAACACAACTGCACCTGCTCCTACTGTCCTAACGGAAGGCCCTTCCGACATCACAACGCCAACCACTGAACCCACACAAGACGACGGAATTGCGATGCCCTCGGAATCTGCCATGCCCGTTCCGCCGGGAGCACCACGCTCTTACCCTCTGTTGAGACGACAAAAAGCCCCACGCCTGGTACGGTTGGAACAACTGAACCCACAATAGACGATGGTCAAGCAACAAGCAGCCCTGTTGCTGCAGGAGAGCCTACAAGAATGCCAACAGATTCTACCCAAAGCCCTGTAGCAGCTGGCACACCAACCCAGTGTCACCAACAGTTGATGGCCCTACCCCTGGCAGCCCTGTTGCTGCAGGAACACCTACAAGAATGCCAACAGATTCTACTCCAAGCCCTGTAGCGGCTGGCGCACCAACCCGTTCGCCAACAGTCGATGGCCCCACTACAAGCAGCCCTGTTGCTGTGGGAGCGCCTACAAGGATGCCAACAGATTCTACTCCAAGCCCTGTAGCAGCGGCCACCAACCCGTTCGCCAACAGTCGATGGCCCCACTACAAGCAGCCCTGTTGCTGGGAGAGCCTACAAGATGCCAACAGATTCTCACCAAGCCCTGTAGCCGGCGCACCACCCGTTCGCCAACAGTCGATGGCCCCACTACAAGCAGCCCTGTTGCTGGGAACACCTACAAGATGCCAACAGATTCTCACCAAGCCCTGTAGCAGCCGGCGCACCAACCCGTTCGCCAACAGTCGATGGCCCACTACAAGCAGCCCTGTTGCTGTGGGAGCGCCTACAAGGATGCCAACAGATTCTACTCCAAGCCCTGTAGCGGCTGGCGCACCAACCCGTTCGCCAACAGTCGATGGCCCCACTACAAGCAGCCCTGTTGCTGTGGGAGCGCCTACAAGGATGCCAACAGATTCTACTCCAAGCCCTGTAGCAGCTGGCGCACCAACCCGTTCGCCAACAGTCGATGGCCCCACTACAAGCAGCCCTGTTGCTGCAGGAGCGCCTACAAGGATGCCAACAGATTCTACCCCAAGCCCTGTTGTAGCTGGTGCACCTACCCGTTCGCCAACAGTCGATGGCCCCACTACAAGCAGCCCTGTTGCTGCAGGAGCGCCCACAAGAAAGCCTGTTGATATTGGTGTTCCAACGCGTACGCCAACTGAGGAAACAGAACCAACCGACACACCTTCTGGTGTCCCCACCATCGATCCATTGAGCGGTTGTTCGCCAGTTGTATCTTGTAGTCTTGTGTTCTCCAACAATGATGGTGTTTTGGTATGTCTTGAACTTGGGGACTCCTTGGTAGAAGCTTGTCTTCCTGTAAGTTGGATACAGGAATCCCTACTGCTTGGTAGTTGTGGGCCCTGTCCAACGGAAGCTCCCTCCAGTCAGCCTACCGAATCACCGCCAATTGCAACTGTTCTTCCAACGGACTATCCCATGAGTCTCGAACCCACAGAATTACCCACAAACCCTGTTCCTAGTACACTCCCAAGTCAGTCGCCATCGGATAGGGAGGATCTATGTGGTGATGATCCTGTCATTCCTTGTGGAGAAGATGCGATTTACTTCTGCCTTACTGATTTGGAATTCGAAGATTTGTTTGGTGATAAGACTGTGTGCTTGCCTCTCGATCTGCTACCAACTGCAGTCGACAAAGGGGTCGGATACTGCGGCGAATGTCCACCGGGGCCCACGTTGGGGCCCACAATTGATCCTTTGACCGGATGTGACCCTGTTATTCCCTGTGAAGGATTCTTGGGTTCCATGTTTTCAGGAGTTGAATTTTGTCTCCAGTTTCCTGGTGAGCAGGCTACCATTTGCCTCCCCATCCGTTTGGTTGAGCCGTCTCTCGAATATGGTAAGTTTGGTTTTCGTAAAAAGATTTGCGTGCAACTGCAAAGGGGGCTCACCTTCACATGTTTCCCGTTAAGGCGAATGTGGCACCTGCGACAACCTCTCAAGCGCGCCGACCACTGCTTTCACTTCGTCTCCTACCATGTTCCCGTCACTGGAGGAGTGCGAGGACATCGTACCTTGCGATGACGGCAAAATTATATACTGCATTCAGTTGGATTCTGGTGCCGTTGAGGTCTGCTTATCGATTTCCCTAGCTCCCGAGATTGTGCCTACGTTCGGAACCTGTGGCCGCTGCCCTGAAGAGACACCAAGTCCAACTGGTTCACCAACAGTGAGTCCGACATTCAACCCCACGGGTTTGCCATCGACAAGTCCATCCAATATTCCCAGTATGACCCCAACTGGTGCACTGGACGGTTGTATCGTTGAACCTCCAGCTTGTGAAATCGAGACTCCCCGACAAGTTGGTTTGAGTGACAACAGCACTATAGGCGAGGGCGATAGGGTCACCTTTTGTTTTGTGTTTTTCAATGACCGTCAGGTTGAACTTTGTGTGCTCGTTGAGAATGTCAAAGATTTGCTTGACCAAGGTGAGCTACTGTCTGCGTTGATCCATTTCGCTTCCTATGCTTGCTAACATCGAACCGTTGTGTATAGGCTACTGTGGCCCCTGTGTTGAGCCGCCAAGCATAGCCCCAACAGAATCCCCCACTGCAGGTCCGACATCATCAGCACCAACATCACTGCCATCGGGACAACCTTCGGGACTGCAACCATCTACAAGCGCCCCAACGAATATCCCGACTGCAAATCCAACTACTCTTGCACCATCCTCTTTTCCTTCTGGGGATCCTTTGGCTGGTTGCGAGCCCTTCGTCCCGTGTGGTGACAATGGAGTTGTTTTCTGTTTACAGGGGGAGGAGGAAAGAGATAACATTGAGATCTGTCTACCAGTGAGATCTTCTTCGTTTTTGTCAAGGTTTTTTTGTTAAATAGTATCTCACCTTTTTCTTTCCACCCGTTTGCGCACAGATTGATTTTGTGCAGGATGCTCTTGGTCTTGGTTTCTGTGGAGTATGCCCATCTCTTACTCCCTCCAGCGTCCCCACTTTCTCGCCGACAACAACTCCCACGCAAGCTCCAACTGGGTTCCTTGATGGCTGCGTAATTGAACCACCCGTGTGTGTTCTGGATCCAGATGATGGAGAGGATCGTGTGTCGTTCTGCTTGGTTATTGGAAACTCCCAGATAGAGCTATGTGTGCGTGTGGAGAATGTACAAGACCTTTTAGAACGAGGTGAGCACAACGAAAGTCGTCGTTCCGAGCACTCAATTTGCTTGCCCCGCAACAGGAAGAATATAATACATTCATTTGCACCTCTGTTGCTTGTACAGGATACTGCGGCCCATGCATTCAACCACCAAGTGTACCGCCAACAGAGTTGCCATCTGTAGATCCGACCACATCTGTACCGACAAGCCTCCCTTCTATGCAACCAACTGGTATTCAACCCTCCACAACAGCCCCCACAGTTCTTCCCTCGGCCACGCCAACAACCCTCAGCCCCTCAGTTGCCCCTTCTTCTGACCCTCTGCTTGGATGTGAACCTGTTGTCCCTTGTGCAATTGGCTCCGTCACGTTTTGTCTGCGAACTGAGCTAGGAACAGGGTACCTCGAGATATGCTTGCCTGTAAGTTCGTCTTCTTAGTTCAGAAATTGTTGAGCGCTCCCCCCTCAAATCCATTCTCGCTGTAGATTGAATTTGTACAGGAGCTTCTTGAGCAAGGGTCTTGCGGGGAGTGTCCATCACCGGCCCCGTCAGTCTTACCCACAGGGGCTCCAACTACGTTGCTTCCAACAAGCCTTCCCAGCGTGACCCCCACATTGATACCAACCATTGCGCCTACTGGCCCTCTTGATGATTGTGATGTCATGCCGTCAAACTGCACGGTTCCTGGCGATGACAGCGACAGAGTTACATTTTGTCTGACGATCAACGACGTCCAAACTGAGCTCTGTGTTCTGGTTGAAGATGTTCTGGAGCTGCTTACCTTGGGTAGGGATTCCATCGATTGCTAAAGAGCTCTGTGCGATTGAAACTTTCTTAATCAGCTGTCTCAACTGGATCTTGCCCATCTTGTTCTTAGGACTTGGATACTGTGGACCATGTATTGAGCCACCCAGTCCAGCACCAACTTTTCTGCCATCTTCTGTACCCTCGGAACCAACTACAAATGCTCCTACGTTGGTGCCATCCCCACGGCCTACAGGATCTGAACCTTCTACGGATTCGCCAACCGTTTCTCCCACGTTACTGCCAACAACGGCATCCCCATCATTCACACCCACAATCGATCCTTTGGATGGATGTGCCGTTGTTGTCCCATGCAATAATGAAACTGGAGTAGTATTTTGCTTCGAAGGGATGATAGTCTCCAGAAACGTTGAAGTTTGTCTACCGGTAAGGTCTGCTGCTTCCATCAATGTCGTGTGTCAATAACAACATCTGACATTGATTCGAAACGAACAATATCTCAGATTGAACTAGTGCAGGGCGCACTTGAATTTGGGTTCTGTGGAGAGTGTCCTTCTCCAAGCCCCTCAAGCCCCCCAACAGGCCTCCCAACGGAGATGCCAACCACTTTGACACCAACAATCCAACCAACACAGATTCCCACAACATTGGTTCCTTCTTTCTCCCCAACTTTGGCACCAACTATTGATCCTCTGGAAATCTGCGAAGAAGAGCCACCTCCTTGTACCCTGGATCCAGATGATGGAGAGGACCGTGTGACATTTTGTGTTCAATTTGGTGGCCAGCAGGAGGAGGTTTGTGTGTTTGTAGGAAATGTGGATGATTTGTTGGCTATAGGTATGTCATGTTGGACGTGTGCAAGGATGCAATGCTTTGGGGTGCTTGTCTCAGATGATGGTTTTGTTGTTTGATTGATTATCCAGGTGCTGGCTACTGTGGTCGGTGCATTGAACCTCCTAGCCCACTGCCGACATTGGTGCCATCATTGATGCCAACACCAAAGCCAAATTCAATTCTCCCTCCCCTGCCTTCTCTTGCACCTGCTAGTGAGCTCCCAACATCAAGTCCTGTAGAAACGCCATCAAGTTCTCCTACAATTGACCCACTAACAGGTTGCAGCCCAGTAATCCTGTGCAATGACAATGGGGTTGAAAATGGTGTTGTCATGTGCCTGATTGGTCCAGCTCAACAGATAGAGATCTGCATTCTGGTATGCACCTACCTTGACTTGGGCTTTGTTCCGATAGCGTTCCATGTAGCACTCACACCTGATTTCTGACTTTTTAAAGATTGAGCTAGTGCAGGAAGCGCTGGAGGCTGGCTTTTGTGGTGAATGTCCCACCACAGCCCCCACTGGTACCCCAACAGCAGAACCAACCACTTTGGAACCAACCACTTTGGCTCCTTCTTTCTCCCCAACTTTGGCACCAACTATTGATCCTCTGGAAAACTGTGAAGAAGAGCCACCTCCTTGTACCCTGGATCCAGATGATGGAGAGGACCGTGTGGCATTTTGTGTTCAATTTGGTGGCCAGCAGGAGGAGCTTTGTGTGTTGGTAGGAAATGTGGATGATTTGTTGGCTATAGGTATGTCATGTTGGACATGTGCAAGGATGCAATGCTGTGGTGTTGTCTCAGATAATGGCTCTCTTGTTTGATTGATTATTCAGGTGCTGGCTACTGTGGTCCATGCATTGAACCTCCTAGCCCACTGCCGACATTGGTGCCATCTTTGCTGCCAACAACAAGTCCAAATTCAATTCTCCCTCCCCTGCCTTCTCTTGCACCTGCTAGTGAGCTCCCAACATCAAGTCCTGTAGAAACGCCATCAAGTTTCCCTACGATTGACCCACTAACAGGTTGCAGCCCAGTAATCCCTTGCAGTGATGATGGGGTTGAAAATGGGGTTGTCATGTGCCTGATTGATCCAGTTAGACAGATAGAGATCTGCATGCCGGTATGTATGATTTGGGCTTTTCTTCAATGGTTCAAACTGTTGCACTCACATACCTGATTTCTGACTTTTTAAAGATTGAGATAGTACAGGAAGCGCTGGAGGCTGGCTTTTGTGGTGAATGCCCCACCACAGCCCCAACTAGTACCCCTACTGCATTGCCGACTACAGGCTCCCCCACAGCACTTCCTACAGCTGTGCCAACCACGCTGCCAACAATCGATCCTCTCACAGTAAGATTTCATACTTGCAACGAGCTGAAACAGAAGAGAAAGTCTCATTTGTCTCGCCTATCTCTCCTATTATAGGGATGCACCCCTGTGATTGATTGTACACCCTCAAACGTGCTTTATGACGATGGCGTTGTGAGTCTTCCACCAAATAGTTTGCTCCTTTGCAGATTGGTCCCTAACAGCTTCTCTAACCACCTCCTAACAGATATTCTGCTTGGAAGACTATCTTCCATCTGGACAGGACCTTGAAGTATGTCTACCTGTTGAGTTCGTTCAGGATGGTTTGGACCAAGGTAGGCAGAACAATCCGTACTTTTTGCAAAGTTTAGCCTTTGATTCCAACCAACAAACTGCTTTGCTGTTACGCTGACAGGATTCTGTGGGATGGTACGTTCTCGTTTGAATGGGATGGTATCGCTTGCACCCTGAACCTCACAATGTCTTGTGCTAGTGTCCGACTGAGATTCCGTCAATCTCGCCCACGGGAGGTCCCACGATAGGTCCAACTATGGCTCCTGTTACTCTGTTTCCGAGCGCTTTGCCGTCGGGTTCCCCAACCACAAATGCGCCCACCACTTTGGAGCCCACAGCCATGGCCCCGGTTACTCTGTTTCCGAGCTCCTTGCCATCGGTTTCCCCGACCACTTTGGAGCCTACAGCCAGTCCAACAATTGTTCCCACCGCTGCGCCAACAGTGGACCCTCTGGAAGGATGTGGCGACGATCCAATCGAGCCTTGTACAGACGATGGAGTGACAAATGGAATAATCTTTTGTTTTGAGCCAAGCATTGTGGACTTCGAAGCAATTTGTGTTCCAGTGAGCTTTGTCCCGATCCTTTTGGAAGCCGGTCTGGGAGAATGCGGTAAGATCTGTCCTCTATTATTGTCCTTATCACAGTATTCAACATCCATCAACTCACACAAACATCGACTCGCAAACGATGAATTATTCAATCCACGCACATTCTGGATATCCTACCGATACAGGACCATGTCCAACATTTCCTCCTTCACCATCACCGTCCCAAGACCCAACAGGCCTTCCGTCTGTCTTGCCTACTGGAATGCCTAGCAATGCGCCAACAACGGCAGCACCTACAACAAATGCGCCGAGTGCTTCCCCCTCCGCAGCACCTACGACAGCCGAACCAACCGCCTCGCCGACAACTGCAACTCCCACGAAGAGTCCTTCTGTGAATCCCACCTCAATGCCAACCATCAGCCCAACAGACGCTCCAACCATCAACCCAACATATGCTCCAACTCCTGGCCCGTCTACGTTTCCCACAAACGAACCAACGACAAGTCCCACAAATGCTCCAACTCCTGCCCGTCTACTCTCCCACCTTCAATCCAACGACAAGTCCGACAAATGCTCCAACTCCTGGCCCGTCTATGTCTCCCACAAACGAACCAACAACGCTCGCGCCATCAACCCTCGCGCCAACAACACTATCCCCAACAGTGGCCACTGGAGAACCAACAAAAACGCCATCAGCTTTTCCGACGAGACTCCCAACCGAGATCCCTACTGAGATGCCCACTGGTAGTCCCACTCAATCACCGACCTTCAATCCAACCACAAGTCCAACAAATGCTCCAACTCTGAATCCAACAACAAGTCCCACAACTTCTCCAACTCCAGCCCCAACTGCAACTCCCACAAACCCGCCGACCATTTCCCCGACGAGGGCACCCTCCCCAGCACCAACAGAAGTGCCCTCCCCAGCACCAACGGAAGTACCCACATTTGCCCCAACAGAGGATCCATTGGAAGGATGTGATGATGTTCAGACTTGCACTGCAAATAATGGGGAAGAAGGAGTCCTCATGTGCATCTACTTCCTCTCAGACTCTCCTTTCACAGCTTGTGTACCGATCGATACAGTGCAAGAAGCATTGGACTTTGACAGCCGAAATTTCTGTGGTGTGTGTCCAACTGCCGCACCGACTGACATACCCACTTCATCTCCGTCCAATGTTCCAACTATCGCCCCCACAATATCGCCCACTACACTGTCTCCGACGGGGGCGCCCACAAATTCCCCGACCCAAGCGCCCTCTCCAGAGCCCTCGTATGGCTATCAGTGTGAGGGCGAAGAGTGTGCAGGGGACGGCTACGTCTATGTGTGCATTGAGGGCAGTACTGTGTGTGTCTCTCAAGAAGATGCTATCGACTTGATTCTTGCTGGAGGCGAGTGTGGGCAGTGTGGTTTTTTCACTTGCTCAGAGTACTTTGCATGTGGAAGGGACAGAGTTACAATATGTCACATGTAAGCCCCTTTGCCTCGTACACGCGGGTAGTTTCACATTGTTCCTAACTCCGCTTCTGCTTCCTCTGTGTTTCTATTTACTTGGTACGTGTACTATTCTGCTCGTGCGCCTGTTTCGTCAGACAAGGAACCGACCCCCAAACACTCTGTGTTTCGATAAATTCGATTCCAGCGCACCAAGGCCACTGTGACTATTGTGGACCATGTCAGGACACACCACCACCGGTAAGTTTCCCAGAAACTGCTTATCATACTTTTGTTGATTATCTTTGGCATGTGTGTATTGCATCGTACTCAACTGTTTTCTCTGCCCCAACCCTGCATTGCCAATGCTTAGACTTGTAAATCCGGGGACTTCACTGCCGATGAATTCGAGTTTGAGTCTGTGTCTGAGGACCCATCTGCAGCTCCAACCATGATGGTCCCATCCACACCGCTATCATCCACTGAAGCGCCAACCATGACAACCACCACGACCGATGCCCCCTCCATGAAACCGTCCGTGTTGGCAGGCACTTCAGAGCCTACCATGGCTCCTTCGGAGACACCAACCACATCCAATCCCACTGTTGCCCCAACAAGGCAGACAAATGAACCCACGGCGCCTCCTTTTACATTGCAACCAGAGACCGAGGAACCAACTCCAAACCCGACCACAGCAGAGCCAACTCCAAACCCAACTGAGACTGAGACAGATGAGCCAACTGCTGCCCCCACGATTCTCCCAACACCTTTACCAACTCCGCAACCCACTTCTTCCCCGACTAATTCCCCCACTCAGCAACCGACGAGTGAACCAACCGAGAATCCAACTAATTCCCCAACTCAGCAACCGACTGGTGAGCCAACAGATTCCCCGACTCAGCAACCCACAGATGAACCCACAGATAACCCCACGCCTCAGCCGACTGACGAACCAACCGAGCCACAAGCCGGGCTAGACGAGCCAGAGGATTGATGGAAAGGTGGTGTTCACAGGACAAACGAGGTAGTAGAGGTTGTCCACATGAGTGATTGAATACATGTAAAGCAAATCTGAGGGGGGGGGGGGGACGATAGGTGTTTTCCTATTGGTGAAAGTATTACCGTACGTAACTAGCATCAATGTTCTTGTGCAGCTTAGCAAATCTTTGTTGCTGTAACCAACAGCGAGCGTTCCACCTGCAACCTTGGCATCGGTCGGCAACTGTTCCAGCCCAATGTAGACATGGAAAATATGGCCATTCTTCTCACCCTTCCAGCGACCGCGAGCCTCATTCTCGGCCTGGGTAATCCCACACTCAGCAGCGTAGGTTGGAGGCAGCTTGCGCACACTGTGGGTACCGAGGCTTCCCTGGACTTGAGCGGCAAGCTCCACCAACTCAGGGTCCTCCCAAGCCTTCTTCAAAGCCCGTTGGTACCAGGCGTTGTCTCGATCTTGGTTTCACCATGTCCCCTCTCAAGTCTTGTCTCGATCCAAATGGCCAAGGCAATCAGCCAGGACGCAAAAGTCAGGGTCAGCGGCACCCAGCATGATCTGGTTGGGACAGTCACGCTCCTCCATGACATTCTTGCTCCGCGAGACCTTGGTTTCAAGAGCGAAGTTACCAAACTTGGAATGGCTGCGAAGGTCCAAAGTCTCCATGTTGGTCAAATCATCAGTGCGACCAATCAAGTGAAACTGAACCTTCAACATGGTTGGGATCTTGATCGTCGTGTCAATGTTCGCTCCTCCATCACGTTCCACAATACGAATGGTCTTGTGGAATTCCCGAATCTTGAGATCCCTCTTGGCATTGGATTTCCTGCCCTGCTTCCTGACCTCAGCTTTCTTCACAGCTTTGATCACTTCATTGACAGGCCTGGAGCGAGTGGGATTCCCAACATTGGGACCAACAGCCCATGACGAGTGTTTGTTCGGATGGAAGTAGCTGATGGCCTTCTTGTACTGGTCAAGAGTGGAAGATCTCTTGTGGGTGGGGTGGTCATTGGGCCCTGGGTTGATCCTTCCATAGGCAAGGAAGTTCAGGAACTGGGCAACATCAGTAGGGGTAATGGCTAGGAACTCGGCCTGAAGAAAAATGAAGAAGAGCAACCATGGTGTGAGCGACGATGTTCGATCAGCGAAATGACAGTTTTGGCGAAGGAGCGAAGGAGGGAAGGAGCCGACGTACCTGTGTAAAGCTCCTCTGGCCATCATACGGTGTCTGCCGGCCATGCTTCCAAGACATAAACCTGGCAACTGCCGGCCGGTACTGTTGCTCAAATGACTTGCGTTTCCTCGCCATGGTGGAAGATCGACAAAAAGAGCAAGTAAACAAAATAGCGATAGTAGCGAAACAAAAATGCAATAGCTTTCGCTCTCCAGCGATTTTGTGAGAGGTTTGGAGAGGAAACTCGAAATAATGAAAAATCCACCTTGCTTCGAAACTGCGTCCAACAGCCAGCCAGCAAGTGCTAGTACTAGTAGTACTCCGGGTTACGTCCGTTGATCAGAGGGGATCTTTGAGGGTTTACGCTCTCTTTGTGCTATGAGAGAGGTTCCGGATTCTTGAATCTTTGAGTTTCGCGGAACGTTTGTGTGTGATGTGTGGTCTTTTGTACGATTGGAGTTGTGTTTTGGCAAAGATACTTAGGCAAAAAGTTGTATTTGGAGGCACCCGATGCAATTACCAATGTGATTCTGAGTAGTATCGGATACCCTCACATGCCTGGTTTTGCCCGGCAAAATACTCTCAAAGTCCAATGCCTATCTCTATACCCCATTACAAGATTGCCATACTTAGGACTAAGAGGGGGTGACTGGTCTACTATGACTAGAGGTAGGTCCCACCAACCCGTGCGATCCCCCAAAGACTGATACCCTCGACCATGTGACTACGGTTGTATATTAGCTAAAGGTATAGGGTACGGGTAGCAATGCCTCAAGGTTTGCTGGCTGGTTCCGCATCCATAGCTCATCTTCATTTCAATTCCTGCACAGGGTCAAACCTTCGAACATAGAAAGTTCACATCTCAGAATCAGCCTTTGGATACCAGTCTTGCATTATAGTGAACAACATCGCCAGGCCATAAGATGACAGAAAGATGCTCTTCTTGGTCCATTTAAGTTAAAAAAGGTGGGTCCCGAAGTCCCGACCGGGAACCACAGCACAAAAAACTAACAGTAGCTTTTTTTAATTACTACTGAGTAGCTACTAGTAGTAAAAGAGCAATCCGTTCACGGTTTAGAGCTTCACATGTGACTCATGATTAAAGTTCAAAGAAAGGGCATAATTATTCAATTTTTAAGGTGCCTTCTCTTTTTGCCATCAGTGTTTTGAGTTCTGGGGGGTTTAGTTAGAGTAGGTAGATTATCTACACGCCGTGGGCTCGTACAGTACTCCCTCGAGGTACCGGTACCGGTACCGGTCCTGTAGAGCTCTACTACATGCAGCTGGAGCTAGTACAGTACTTATTCCTAGCTAGCATTCGCTCTAGCTAGCTACGGTGCCGGCTACAGCTCTGGAACATTCCGATGCTTCATTCGAGCTGAATTCGGGGGAAAGAAGCAGGGAAAACAGGGTTCTCACAATGTAATTGCGCCGTGTTCGAGGGAATTCAATTCATTCAGCGATACCAACAGCTCCACCGGCACAACTCAGGAAGTGTGTTTTAAAATCCATCTCAAAACAAAGCAACTTGTCCTTTCTCTCACAATTTCGGAAAACAAAAAGTTGAGAAAAGCATTCACTCAAAGGTAATAAAATATCGTGCAAAAGGCACAGCAACATGTATGCATTGATTGATTGATTGGTTGTGTTGGATTTGTGACAATGGCAGGCGGGGACTTGTTTTGGCACATTTGGCTGACCATGCCTCTTTCTCTGACCTCTCTCAATCTTTTTGTTTGTCACCTTTTGCTTCTTGTATTGATATCTTTTATATGATACTAGTAATAACAATATCATCATCCACCGCCACCATGAAGTTCACCACTGCCTCCGTTTTTGCTCTTGTGCTTGCTGTTGCCGGTTCCGCCCATGGTGCCAATGTTCGTGGTGCTGAACAAGCAGAACAACGCCAGCTCCATGCAACACCCGGCGTCATTGCTGTGATTGAGCACTGCGGTAGTGGCGCTGCCCCACTGGCTGTGGCTCACAGCTGTGGATGTGGTTTTGAGTTTGAAAGTGGTGAAAGTTTGACCGGTACTCCCTGCGACCAAGGATGCAATGGCCAGGGATCCCGTGGCTTGTCCTGTATTACTCAGGTCATTGGCCCCATCGGCTCCAGTTTGCCCAACCCTCGTGGCGACCTCAAGATTTCCAAGACTTATAATGCTTGTGTTCGTCAGAGTTGTGGTATTGGCGGCAACAATTAATTGGTCAGAATTGGCTGAATTGATCCAATCATGCATGGCCAAGAAACAGATGATCACAACAAAGTACCAGAGTAGTAAAACCATTATTGATGGACACCAAGAAAGCATAAAAAGCTCGACAGATAAGAACTAACAAACTATCTAGAGCTAGAATAGCAGCTCACAAACTTTCTAAACCAATGCTGCCTCCGGCCCCGAAGCCGAGCACTCTAAGGCTCAGTTTCAACTACTTTTTTGCAATCGTAGAATGGGTCATTCGGAGGCCATTCCCATGAGGCCCCAAAAGGGATCACCCAAGCCGAGTTTCAACTAGTCAGTTGCCAAATCGGAAAATGTGACTCCCACCAGGTGCCACGTGCCAATGGAAATCCAATGATCTCCAATGCCATATCCAACACCAACGGCGTAATAATGAGGTTGATTGTTGTCAGCATCCTCATTGTCATAGAAGTCGATAACCAATTAGACCAAAGTGAGACAAGACAATGTTCCTCTGTTGCTTGATTCTTTTTGCCTCCCTCTTGCTACCTCTAGCCTCCGGAGGTAGGGACCATCCACTTCAGGAGCCAAGCAGCTTTGCTCAAGCCGCGGTGGCCTTGCTGTCGGTCTCTGATCCATCCTTGTTCGCAACAGGAGGGGATGGGGATGCTCGAGGAGGAGGCAGACCTCATCAGAACAGGAAGAGGAAGTATGTGAATGACATCTTCAATGAATTGGTATCACATTATGTGAGGCGTGCTTACCAGATGGAACCTGCTTCCTTCTGGAAGCTTGTTCGCTTGTTGAAGCCATTCCTTGAACCAAGCAAGAAGAGAAAGTCATGGAAGAGTGGTGCCAAGAACGGCCTGAATCCATTCCCGAGCAAAGTCAGTGCCGTGATTCGCTATTTTGCTGGAGGAGCTGTTTATGACATTGGGGTTGTCCACGGAATAGGCCATACTGATGTCTACCGCAGCATCTGGAAGGTTGTTGATGCAGTTAATGAGTGCCCAGAGTTGGACTTTTCGTATCCGTCCGAACACGCAGAACAGCAGAAGATTGCGGACAACTTCAAGACAGTCAGCCGCGGAGTTTTCGACTGCTGCGGTGGAGCCGTGGATGGCATCTTGATCTGGACTGAAAGGCCAAGCGAAGAAAGCTGTGAGATTGCAGAATGCGGACCGAAGAAATTCTTCTGTGGGCGGAAGAAGAAGTTTGGGTTGAACATGCAAGGAACTTGTGATGCTTACCGCAGGTTCCTGGATATTTATGTGAAGCATCCAGGTTCGACATCTGACTATCTGGCATGGACATCATCTCCTCTCTACCACAACATCGAGCGAGAAGGATTCATGAAAAAGGGGATCTGTCTTTTCGGCGACAATGCGTACGTCAACACACCAACCATGGCCACCCCGTACAAGGCAGTGGGCTCTGGAACCAAGGATTCGTACAACTACTTCCATTCAAATGTGCGAATTGTAATTGAGTGCGCCTTTGGAATGCTTGTTCGACGTTGGGGTTTCTTGATGCGTGCCTTCCCAACAGCTCTCACCATCGCCAAAGTAACTGCCATCGTGCGCTGTTTGTGCCGACTCCACAATTTCTGCATCAACGAGCGATTGGAGAGGCAGGCAACATTGTCGCAAGTAGATTCTCCTTCCGAAGAGTGCACACAAGAAGTGGCCGAACGTCTTGCCAGCGATGAGATGAACATTGTGGTCGGCGAAGGAGGGATGTACCTGGATACCAACCGCGATGACTTCAGACCTGATGCGCTCCTTGGTGGTGGCCACCATTTTGATGATATTTCCTATTGGAGTAGAGTGAATCGAAAGCACAAAAATGGCGATATGCTGCCGAGGGAAGTCATGCACGAAACAATCCAACGCCTTGGTTTGAAGCGAACCACACCAAGGCATTGGGTTGGAAAGACACCTGCTCGCTCTTATCAGACTTAGTCGCTAGAGATAATCATTACTTAGCACATGAGCCCAGCGTTATATTACCTGAAGACAACATTGACCGGCCAGGTGCAAAATTGGTACTTGCTCGTGCTGGAACTATCATCAACGCATCGCCGAATTCTTGAGAGAGGACCAACAGTTTGCGATGGACTTTTCTTGACGGACATCGACCAAAGGAGAGAAGTTGGTTGGTGGATGCTAAGTCTACAGTTCTAATCTCTTAAGTCCAGTAGGTTTCTTGAAACGTTTCAAACTATCATTTATCACCGGAGAGTGCAAAGAATGCTCCTATTCGACAGCAGCATGCACATCTTTGCCACTCACCACAACACCACAACACCACAACACAAGTATTTTCGAAATAAGGACCACCGACAATGGGATTGACTAGTAGCCAATAGACGCAGAAGCTGCCGCGATCTCGTCATCAACATCCTCATCCTCGTCGCCAACGTCACTGTCTTCATCGCCGCTTTCGATCAATCCACGAGGCAACTCGACTTGGGTAGGAACAACCTTCCTCTTCTTTCTCTTTTTGGGGCTAATGGCATCCATTTTATCCTCAAAGTCCAACGCGTCGAGACCTTCCTGGATGGCGGTGACATTTGCTTCGAGCATACGAATGCGTCCCATGTAGAGTTCACTCAAGGTAGCACTCTTGGTCTTCATCACTTTGAGTTGGGACTCGAAAAGCTTTTCTTGCGTTTCACGTAGCTCTTTCCAGATGGCTGCACGAGACATGGAGTGCATGGCTAGGCTCATCTTCGCACGGAAGAAACCAAGGGCCCTTTCATCAACCTTCCTCTTGCGAGCAGAGCTATTAACCGAGGCAGCAACCGAAGAACAGGCCTCCGAACTGGCAGCACAAGAGTCCGCGATCACACACATGACATTCTTCAAGATTTCCTGGTCATCCGACACATGCCACAAGTACAGGATGTGCTCCTTGGTTTGGGAGTCAAGGAAATTTGCCCTGTTGTCACCACACTGGAGTTCCTCTTCTCCAAGATGGCCGAAGGCGTCATCTTCCTCAACACGCTGGCCAAATCCGTTCCCGCTGAGTTCCCACTTCGCGATAATCTTGATCAGTTTGGCACGGCAATCACCCCAACGGCGCTTCACTTCATCAGAAGTGATGGCACCTGGCATGTGTTCGAACGAACAGTCCAACACTTCCGCGAAGGTGAAATGAAGATCGGGTAAGCAGCGAGAGAAGACATCATGTTCCTTGTCATTATACAAACGGGCACAGGATTCATATACTGTTTCAGGCCTGTCTGCCGAATTGCGTGCATCTAATTCATCTCTCTCACCCAGCCTGTGCATTTCCAGGAACTGTCCACGGATTGAATCATCCAACATGCACTCAATCATGCGAATATAGGGCTCTGGGGTGACCCACGGTGAAGCCTTTTCCTTCTTGTCTTCTTCCTTTTCGAGCTTTGCCTTCACAACCAAATCGAAGAGCTTCTTTTCTTCGGCAATGACAAAGGCACGATCGTTCGTGTTGGACAAGGGATGACTCCTCAACCAAGCAAGACACTTCCTCTTTTCCCAATGTCCACACTTGGGCTCACTTAAACCATCTAGGATGCATCGACGACGAATCTCATCAACAAAATGCTTCTGAGTGGGTGTTACCTTTTTCTTCAGCTTCATGGAGCAGTAAGGCTCCTCATCAACATTGCCCACCTCACGTAAGTCAAAAGTCTTCAGTCCAATTCCCATTGCCATGAGATCAGCAGCTTTCTCACCACCACACTTGTAATACCTTTCCGTAGACCCAACATGTTCAGCGTTTGGGTCCACTGCTCCAAGCACATGGTAGGGGATGCCAGACAAACGGCGGTCGTCAGTAGGTGTTTCTTCTGTCATTTTGCTTGGCTTTCCTGTTCGAAATTCCTGCTTCGTTTGCTAACTTTCAGGATTGTGATCCTTCCATCAAGACAACTCGAACGAAGATAACAATGACAATGACAATGACAATGACAATGCTGCGTACCGAACCTGCACACAAGCCTGATCGGCTTCATTCCAAACCGGTAGGGGTAGGTGGCCTTCTTGGTGCGAGCCATTGCTGTTGGTATTACGTTGGTGGTGGGGTGCCTGTACTATTAACTCTGACTCGACGTTGTCATTGTCATTGTTTGTTTCTTTGTTTTATTTTACAAGCTGTCGAAAAGAAAGATGGATTTGATGGTGATTGTTCGAGAATGTTCCCTGGTATGAGCCAATCAGAATGGCCGGGGGGACCAAAATCCCATTTCGGCTCTGTGCAAACGAGGCCCGTTGGGATTTGCCCAAAGCCGAAATCGGTTGTTGTGCAAAGGCCTATTTTGGGAGACATTCTGACCACGTCATCTCCAACAAGGCCCGATTCTCCGATTTCACCTCCATTCCGGAGTAGTTGAAACTGAGCCTAAACTCTAAACCCCCGTAAAAAGCTGAGCTGTCATACGTATTGAATCTAATCACGATCAGGACTCACAGGATCCGTTGGGATTAGGGTCGAGTTGGGTTAGTTCGACTCCCACTAAAATTTTTGCCGTTGTTCTTCTCGGAGGCAAACCACACAACACGCTGTCTTGTTTGTTTCTTTTTTGTTTGGATCCTGGCCTTGGTTAGTCTAGTTTGATGTTTGCCACTCCGTTCAAGTTGACGACAACAACAACAAGTTGAGAGAGGGGCGAAGCGTGACTTCATTCATTCAGACAGAGAGAGAGAGAGAGAGAGAGAAGCGAGTATTCATTCATCATTCACGACACGACGAGTGACTCAGTCATTGATTTCTTGGATCCTTCAGGTTTTTGAGGACCCTTTTCTTATATTGTGATATAACAAGAGAAGACAAGCCTATCAAGAAAGATGGGAGCCCACCATTCGACAACCTCCTCTGGAGACCCCAGTGATGAAGAGTATCCTATGGATCAACACGGCGTCTTGAGTCAATACAAGGTGGAACACCGTTTGTTTCCCGGCAGTGGTCGCATGATGAAGACGTATCAACTCAAACACAAGAATAACGAGGCAACAGCGGTTGTCAAGGCCATGTGGATTGACATTTCGCAGCTCAAACAACAACTCGCCGAACAACACGACGAACTGCAACGCATCAAAACGGCCCTCCAAGAACAACCGCACGTGGCGCCCTTTACCTATTGGGTCCATCAGACGGACTTTTTTGCGTCCACGGCACACAATCTACTGCGACAACGACAACCCGTGTATCTATTGAGGCCGCATGTCTACACGACACTCAGTGATCGATTGGCCAGTCGACCCTTTTTCACGGCCATTGAAAAATTGTGGATGGTCCATCAAATTCTGCAGGCGTTGGAGACGATGCATCAACACAAAGTCTGTCACGGATTCTTGACGACGGAAAATGTAGGATTGACCAGTTGGAATTGGGTCGTTCTTTTGGATATTTCCAGTTACAAGGCACACACACAATTGCCCGATGATGATCCCAGTGAATATCTATACTACTTTCAAGATCATCATCATCAACAAGATGCAACACAACACGACGATCTTACCAATACCAACACTACCAGCAACAACCATCCAGATGGGATTCACACCAATGCGTCCATGGAAGGCGGCAGCAGCAAAAAAGTCAGTCGCAATCGAGAAAAACGATGCTATATTGCGCCGGAACGATTCGTGTCCTCCAATACTGCATCAACATCCGAAACAACGACAACAACAATGACTGGAAACGACGCCAATTGTTTTTCCAAATACAATCAACTAACTCCGGCCATGGATATATTTTCGGCCGGATGTGTCATGATGGAACTATGGTTGAATGGAGATCGGGCATTGGATTTGGGAGACTTGCTCGAGTATCGACGACACAAGACACTGGCTCCGCAATCGTCGTTGCAACGAAAACTACACAAGATTGAATCGTCGGCATTGCGAGCTGCCTGCAAACACATGCTCCATGTCGATCCCCAGGAACGATTGGGCGCCAAGGCGTATTTGGAACGGTTGCAAGCGGCGGATGCATTGCCACAAGTCATGGAAACGTGTTTGGAACCGCTCATGGGACAAGTCTCCAATCCACAACATGCCGCCAGCTTGACACCCGATGCCAGATTGGCACTGGCAGCCGTTCACTATGAAACCGTCTTGTGGGAGACGTTGGGTATTCGGGATGTCGAAGGAACGCAGTACTTGAAACGGGTGTTGGGTGGAAGTCTGGTCGAATTGGAGCAAATGATGACAGGAGAACAACAACAAAAAGGAGGAGCGACAACACCGGGAGAGGCTGCTAGTAGTAATAAGCCACGAGCCACAACACCACCCACCAAATACAGTCCGGACGATGTCCAGGATTTGTTTGCCGAAACGGAATCGCTGTTGAAAAAGTTGGAAGCATTGGAACTTTTGGATGATAACGATGCCGAATTGCCCGCTGCTCTGCAACCTGCATCCTCCACAACAACTGCGACCAAAAATGCTTCAAAGAATAACACCCAATCTACTACTACTACAGAACAAACAACCAAACTGGCAACAGCACCCCGATCCGCCTTGTGCAAGTCATCCTTGTTGATTTATTTGCAACTCATATTGGCCAATATCCGACATGTCCAACGACCAGCGTCCAAATTGGTCGCATTGCAAATGTTGACGCGATTGTGCGACTTTTGCGACAGTGACGAAATTCGATTGCAACGAATGGTTCCCGTATCCATTTCACTACTCCAGGATCAAGATAGTTTGGTACGAGCATCGGCGCTCAAGTTCCTGGCACATGTGGTGGCACAAATACAGTCGTTTCCACCCTCCGATTCCAAAGTGTTTCCGCAGTACATTTTCAAACGGGTCAGTCCGCTTCTCACGGACCCAAGTCTCGTGGTACGGTTGGCATTTTGTCAATCCATTGCGGTATTGGCCGAAACGGCACAGCGGTTTTTGGACATTAGTCATGCCGTGAGACTGTACGAAGCCATTGGAGCTGGGAGTAGTAGCAGTGCCGGAGTGGCAGCGGCAGCCACGGCCACTAGTTCTGCTACTGGCGACCAAGGATCCACTGGCAAAACAAAGAAAACGAAGACACCGACCAGTCCCAATGTTTTTTCGGATGACATGGCCAAGTTGCTGGGAGACGACACTGCTTCCACAACTCCAAAGAAGAAGGACGAATCTTCCAAGGATGCCGCTGCCAGTGCTGGCAACAACATGCAAGAAGGCGGATTTCATGGTGGCAATCTTGGGGCTAGTCCGTCTGGCAAGACATTGATCAATAGCACCTACCAAGATGAATTGTCAGCGTTGCAGGAGACTGTTTCTGCATGGGTCATTCACATTACCACAGATTTCTCCGAATATTCTTCTCCCATCAAACAAGCTTTGCTGGAGAGCAAACCCGTCGTCACGTCAAACATGGCACATTCGTTCGGGCCACAAGATGCAAAGACATATGGGCGGAGCGACGAAGCATCAAGGTTTCGGGAACCCCACATCTGCGGAGGTGGAACAAAGGAAGTTGCAAGTCGAGTGATTGGAGCTGCTCTGCTGTGGTGCCACAGCTTCACGTTTGCGTTGAAGCGTAGATCCCAAAGCGCCAAGAACCCTCGGCTCGTTCCTGTCAACAGCCAATTGCGATCCGTACCCAGAGCCATGCTCGTTAGATAGCCAATGTCAGGCCCATGCTTGAGCACAAACGGCTCGACGCACGATCGCAAGTCCCAAGAGTAACTGATCCCTTTTGACTCGCAAAAGTGACAATCGATGCGCTCGTGGAGTTATAGTGAGAGACAGCCAGAATTTCCCCTTCTTGTGGATTGATTTGTCGAACTTCGCGCGGTTCCCACAACTCGGGATCTTGTGTATGCCCCGCGCAGACGGTGTTGACTTGAGATGGCTGTTTCTTTTGCGATACACTGTCAACACGCCAAACATGAACCGAGCCATTGCTAGCTGCAGAAGCAACCGAATGACTGCCCTCGACCATCGCTACGTCGTTGATCCTTGCCGTGTTTTGGCTCTGTCGATCGTCATGCCCCGTGTACGCAATGCTGCTCTCGAGTACACCAGAGCTGGTTTCGATTTGGTCCAATTCCCAAACTCGGCAGCTGCCATCGTAGCTGCCTGAAACGAAGAAAGTCTGATCCAGCGAGACTGCAATCCGAACAACAGGGGCTGTGTGGCCAGAAAGTGTGGAACTCGTAGCCAAAAGAGTATCGGCTTTGGGTCTCCAGTCTGTAGCAGCAGCGGTCTTAGCGTCTCTGGAAGCGGGCGACGATGGTGGCGGTCTCACAGCCATGCTAGCGAGCTCGCCCAGCCTCGGAGGCAGGGGTGGTACATTCAAAGCTTGGAGCTTGGTAATCAACAAAGAAGTATCGAGGAGCACTGGGTCAAGTTGTGTTTCAGAACCCCATTCCCCAGAGCAAACACCCTCTATAACCTTGGATTCTCGAGAATAAGCCATATCTTGGATCTCTTTTTTGCTCAGTTTCGTTTCTTCGCCCGAAGCACCGGGCGATTCCGCGGTGCTATCTGACGCTGCCATGATTGACAGGCCATAGATTTCGCCCAGAGCTGATACCGATCTGATGGCCGATGTTTCAGAGGTTTCCGAGTTCATCGCTTGGAGTTGGTCTCGGAGGTCGCTGTACCATGCAGGCAGCGTTCGCTTGTTGACCCCGATAGTATCTTGGCGTGGGAACTTGATGTTTTGTGCGAGCTTGAGTGAACCTTCAATACCGTTCTTGAGGACATGAAATTTGCCCTCTTCTTCTTCCTGGGTTTCCGATTGTGAACCTGATGGTTGTTTGTTGCGCCTTCCAAGCGTTTGCAGGTATTCTCGCACCCTGGCAACTTGTGCTTCAATAACATCAGGACCCGTGCTGGACTGAGGTTGCTGGCCTGCACTGTCAGCTTCGGCTCCTTCGGTAGTGCTAGATTCTGGTCCAGTTGTAGAATCAGACGTCCTGATGCCAACCGACGTCCAAGGCCCCGCTGTTTGTTGCTGGCTAGTAGAGTTCATGAAGGCGCTCAGCTCTTCGGCGAACTTCTCTCTTGACCAAGACGGATAGAGACATGTTTCCATTCCGTCAAGCGTTTTCAGATGACGCAAGGATGGGAGGAATCGGAAGAATGGGTACAGGAGATGAGCAACATAGACTTCGCTGTCGGGTGACCCCAGCGCTTCACATGCTGCGTTGATTGTCGCGATGGCTCCATGCCTAATATCAGCGGATGGGTGAACCAGTAGACATCCATACTTTCGAAGCAACCCATCTGATGCCAATTCGACCATCGAGTCTGGCGTCGAAGAAACCGTCAGATTCCCCAACAGCACGGATCTCGACAACAATCCTAATTCGATCAACTCGGCCAAACAGCGTATGGCAGCTCCTACGACCTGTTCCTCGCCATCGACCAATCCGCTTTCCAGACAGGGAAGGACAAAGTGCTCAGTGGCAGACCGCCCCACGATGCGGCATACCGATGGCAAATGGCAAAAGAGAGCGGACCGCAATTGAGCATCCTTTCGATCGTTCAAAAAGGCCAAGACTTGCGGAAGGATAAATGCCATCACCCCTTCCAAACCAAAGAAATTGCACAAGCGGGAGAGATT